AGGTTGGGGTAGGGGGGCTGGTGTGGGGGGTACCCCGCCAAAACCCAGCACAGCCGGTGGAGGGGTGCGGTGCGGCGCCGCTCGCTGCTGCCATCTGTGTGCAGAGTTCGGTACTGCAGGCGGTGGTGGTTGGAGGCGGTGCGCGGTGCGGCGCCGGGCCATCAGGGATGTTCCTGCTTAGAAGCAATTGCCAGAAGCAGATGCAAGGCGTCTACAGGCCTGAATTCCAATGCGTTGTTTATCATGCCTCACCAGAGGGGCAGGTTCCCACCGTAAGAGGGGTCCCCTGTTTCAAGTTTAGGTGCTAAGTCATCCTCATGCTAAAAACTCAAGTTATTTCAGCTAAGGCCTAATGGCTTGGTCTCAATTTCCCCCCTTTTCCTTAAAATTGTGCAAATTCTTTTGCACAGTCCATAGTATGCACACTAGTATGCTACTGTAGGAACTTTCCACCACGTCCACAAATGAACAATTGTTAATAAAGCCGTAGTCAGCAGTAGCACAAGCACAGGGTAGACCGGTATATCAAAAAGTTGAGTTGCTGTAAGAGGTTGCCATTTTGTCCCTACCAAGAAAACTTCCCACCAGTGGTGCTCTCCAGTTTTCTTGGTGTCAGTGATGATTTCTTCGATTTCTTCTACATTATGCTTAACAGCCCATATTGCTTGGTGAGAAGTTTTGTTGGCCTTCTGCATCATCTTCTCCAGCTCTGGGGCATAGAACATTTTCTTTAGCATTTCTATTTTCAGTCCAATCTGTAGGGCAGGTATATCATGGTATAACACATCGCTATCTTGTATTAGTTGGTAAATAGTGACATGGGTGGTGTAGTTAAAATCGCATCCAATGATTTTGGTAAAATTGCACACACAAAAGTTAGTAGCATTTGTTTCTTCGATACACCTATCAATTGTTGCATTCTCACATGCGGTTCTTATACAAGTGTCGTGGTTTAAACCTAGCCAGACAGCTTCTCCATCTCCCCTGCTCATCTCTTCTCCTGCCCTCCAGGGCTGCCGGTGCCTTTGCAACAGGCTGCAGAAATCTTGGAACCCTCAAGAGTAAAGTTGCTGCTGTGGGATCCCCAGTGCTGCTTCCTGGGCTGGGTAACATCACGCAGGTCTACTCCGTGCAGTGGGAATACCTCAGTGGTGCCAGCTCCCACACCATCCTGCGGTACTACAAGGGATCCCACAGCCCAGCCATCCACGCAACCCTACGCAGGACGAGCTGTTTTCCGTCCATCCGATGGATCTCTCCTGCTGGAGGAGCGTGTCCAGGGAAGTGACAGTGGCATCTACAAAGCAACTGTCGACATGGGAGACAGGGAGAGCCTGAAAATCCTGCTGGAAGTCCTCAGTAAGTGGTGGGCATGGGAGGAAAGAAGGGGGTAATGGGTGCAAGCAGGGCAGGGGCGTTACCTGGGTGTTTATGGACTATCAGCCTGTCATGCATGGAGACATCACCAGGGAGCCTTATGGAGAAGTCAGGACAAAGTCCTCGGCCTCAGGCCACGCTGCCTGACGGTCTGTTTGCAATCTGCCGGTACCAGATGCTGCCTCAGAGATAAGAGCAGACTTGAAATAACACAGAAGTTCCTCCTCGATATCACTCCCAGCAATTCCCTTCATTTACTTTGGCATTATCCCTTCACTGCTGTCATAATGCTGCTGCCACAATGCTACCACAGCCCTTCACCTGGAAAGAAACCTCCCTGAACATCACGGTTGCAGGTGATGGCTGCTGCAATTTCACCTCCCATCCCTCTTCCTTCTCTCCACCCTTCCTTGGAGATCCCTGGGTGGTTTCACCCCATGCCTCTGCCTCCATCCCCCAAGGTTCAGCTGCCCTCTCGGGAGGTTGTGCCCCACGTGCTGTTGACAGGAACATCATCCCCATAGTAGGATGATCGGCAGCAATTCCCAGTCTCTGATCCCACCAAGGCACAATCCTGGGCAGGATGGATGGCAGGAGACTGGCAGACCCCTCTTGGAGGAGGTCCCAAGTGATGGCCCTTGGCCAAGGCGATGGTGAGCAGAACATGGGGGGGGGTGGGTGGGTGGTTGGAGAGTGGCCAAGAAAGCTTATGGGCAGCACTTGTCCCAGGTTGGACATTCCATGGACCACAGCCTGCAGCACAAAGCGTGGATGCGACACCAGGTGGCAAATGAATTGAATGTGTCCTGGTGACAGAGAAGCCCCATGGACCACCAGAGCCACCCTTGCTGGGCCCAGCGGTGGTCTCACTCCCAGCTCCTCGGGTTTGTGTTTTCCAGGTCTCTCCCCTCCCTTGCAGGATGTGCTGAGGATCGCCGTGGTTTCTGTGGTCTTTGCTGCTGTCTCAGCATGGGGACTGATCATTCCCATCTGACAGCCTGAAAAGCTCTGGACAAGTGAGTCCAGTCAGGGCAACTGAACTCTCATGTGGTTTGTGTTGGAAGGGATCTTAAAGCTCATCCAGTTCCAATCCTCTGCCATGGGCAGGGGCACCTTCCACGAGAGCAGCTTGCTCCAAGACCCTGTGTCCATCCTGGCCTTGAACACTGCCAGGGATGGGGCAGCCACAGCTTCTCTGGGCACCCTGTGCCAGTGCCTCAGCGCCCTCACAGTGAAGACGCCCTTCACCCCAGCCCTTTGGATTTCAGCCCTGCTGTGGGTGCCTTTGGGCTTAGCCAGCTTTCTGAGGGAATGGAGCCCCTGGCTCCAGAGATGCTCCACACTTTGCTCCTCCCCTCCCTTGCATCTCCTTTGAAATGTCCCAGTGCAGCAGCAAGGATGCTCTTTCCACCCGTTAGAGGTCGGTCTGGGTGTTTCTCACCTGGCTAAGTCAACTCCATCTTCCAGGTTTAATAGGTTCTCAGCTTCAGTGGAGTTCAGCCTCTGGGATGCCTGCACTAAATGGCAATGAAATGAATTCATTTCTGCCTCTTCTGTCCTGGGTTCAGCAGTAGCAGCCATTTTTCTCCTTCTTAGTAGCTGGTCCAGTGCTGTGGTTTTGACTCTCAGCCTGGGAACGGCGGTGATAACACCCATGTTTTTAGTTGTTGCTCAGTAATGTTTACCCTGACCAAGGACTTCCTGAGGCTCATGCTCTGCCAGGGAGGAGGGGAAGGCGGGAGGAAGCAGAGACAGGACACCTGAACCAAACTAACTAAAGAGGTATTCCATACCACAGCACGTCGTGCCCAGTGTATAAACTGGGGGCAGTCACTCGGAAGGGTGAGATCACTGCTCAGGTCAGGGTAGACACAGCAGTGAAGCAGCTGTTTATTAATGTCATTGCAAAAACGGGTCTCCTGGCAAGCAGGCATACACAGCAAAAGCAGAACAATGATTTGTATTTCCTATGCTGTCCGCAAGTTCCCTCCCTTGTTTCCCCATTGGCTGGGGACTCCAAGGTTTACAGCCTATTCGTTCGACACGTATCAGCTACATGCCAATTGTCCCACCTCTCCCCTTACTCGATCTCTTACATCTCCCCTTACTCAGTTTTGTATGCCCCTTCCTCTCATTTGTTTATCTGTTTTTATGGATCGATTTCAGAACTCTCTGGCAGACACGTGGTACCTCGACTTACGTTTAACCAACCTGCACCAGCTTAGTCACAGGTAGTACAAAGAGTATTCTTTTTAACCACAGAGTGTATCTTTCGTCCAGAGATGATACTGTCTTTAACCACAGAGTGTGTCTTTCTAAGTTACGGTACCTCAAACCCTTTGTTTTGTTCCTTGAGTAACAGCCCCAGCCCCAGTACGGAAAAATCTTAATATTGGAAAGCCTTAATCTTGCAAAGCCCCATCCCCAATTATGCAAAACCAACACTGTTTCTCTTACACTCCCTCTTATTCCTCTGTATGTGACTAAAACGTGGTGGTGTTTGAAAGGAGACTCTTTCTCCTGGGTGTTTCTCATTAAGCAGCAATCTCCCCTCAGTCAGGTTAAAGCCATTCCCCCTTGTCCTGTCCCTACACTGCCTTGTAAAAAGCCCCTCTCCAGGTTTCTCAGGCTCTCTCAGCCTGTCTCCAGAACCCTCACAGCATCTCCGTGGCCTCCTCTGGCCTCACTCCAGCAGCTCCACGTCCCTCTTGTGGTGTTGCCCCAGAGCTGGATCAGGACTGCAGGGGGGGGTCTCCCCAGAGTGCAGCAGAGGGGGAAAATCTCCTCCCTCGACCTGCTGCTCACGCTCTGAGGATGCAGCCCAGCACAGGGGGCTTCTGGGCTGCAAGCAGATAACAATCTGTTTGAAAAGGATGGCTGGTTGTATCTGTTGAAGTCAACTGCAGTGGTGCCTGCAACAGAAAGACCGAAATTGGGAGGAGGTGCTGCCTCTCTAAAAGCTGGACTTTACATGGTGCTGAGCCCCTCTGCTCCCTGTGGACGTGGGGCAGACTAGTTCTGTGCACAAGGCTACCTCAAAACTGTCAAATCCTGGGCAGGAAACAGCAACGACGCTTGGAAAGAGATAGAAAGAAGACAGAAGAGTGGAAGAACTGCCTTCTATCTTTTTTCATACCCTGCTGAGCTGAACACAGCGTCACCTCTGCAACATTCAGCCTGCAGAATCTTTATTATTACAGAAAATACAGGTTTGCATCAAAGCAGTCCTGAAACACACAACCAGAAATACTTGGCACAGGGAATTCAACACACAGACCTTACAGGTCCATGGAGACTGCCATCCCCAAATGCTACTGTATCTCTTCCTCCCTCTGGGCCCTGTACTCCTTCATGCTCCTCTGCAAGCAAGAGCAAAGAACAAACGTTAACAGCGTATACCTGAGCAGCTCGTACACCCCATGCCACCACTCTGCTCTGTGCTGTGACTCCTCTGCCCAGTGCAGAGGATCCTGAGCAACTCTGGCAGAGCTCCAGGTACCTTCAGAAGTGACTGAGCTTTACATTCACTCCAAGGAACAGGAAGCCAGGCCATGCTGCAGGTCAGGCAGAGAAAGTCTGAGATAACTCTAGGTTCTTCATGCCTACAACACAGCTGTCAGCCCTTTCCTCTCACCTCTGAGACCAAGAGACAGAAAAGCCCCCTGAACTCTTCAGGAATAGTCTCACCTCAAAGGTGTTGAGTACTTGTTAGCAAAGACCCATCAGGTCATTCACTCCTTTCTGGCATGGCTCAACAGCAGGAAGGGCCCCTTTGGGAAAGAAGATGGGCCAGTGGTTTCCAAAGGGGTTGGTGGCCCTCTCCCTCACTGCTCTGGGCAGTGTGGTTGTTCCTCCATGACGGGAACAGGCTCTTACACCAGGCACATGCCACACACTTCCCTCCTACCAGCCCGCCGTCAGCACCCTGAGAGCTGAGCTCAGGCCAGGCTATGGTGCAGGAAGGGCAGAGCCAAACCCTGCAGGTAGCCCCACAGGGAAGGGGTTCCCTTGGCAAGAACAGCCTCAGCACTACTCATTTTTAGGAAATTAAAGAGCCAGCAAGCACAAACTCAGATACTCAGGGGAGCAGCCCCATAAGGAAGGAATGAAATAACACTGTCCTCCTGTGGCAGCAGACAAAGCTGTGGAGCCTAGATGGAGGGCAGTAGACTGAGCTGAATGGGCTGGTGTGCTGGGAGGAGTGAGTGATGGCCTGAGGCTCAGAGTTGCCAGTGCTGCCTGTTAACAGGGAACACAGACCCCTCTGGGAGGCAAGTCAAGAGACAGCACAGACTTTTCAAGAGAGCTTTGGTTCACAGCCTGATGAGCAAAGCTGCCAGATAAGCAAGAAGAAGCAGAAGCAAATTCTCATCGCAGCTATGTATGTCAGCACCCTTTGGGTTGGCTTTCCAAATCTTCTGCTGATTTAGGGGCAGATGAAGCACCCATCACCCCTGACCGGACTTAGCAGATCCACCTTACCCCGGCACTGCAGTACCGTGCCTGCAGAGAAGAGGGAGAAGAGTGGTTTTCTTTATTGAAATGACTCATGGTGGAAACCTGACGTGAACAGAGGGGATTCCACAAAGGAAGGGCCCTGAACGTGAAAGCAATGCACACCTCATACCTCTGGTCTGGATCCGGAAGCTGATCTTGCTTTCAGAGGGGTGTGTGATGCAGTAGCCACAGAACTCCACATCAGGGCTGCAGGAAGGGCGAGAGGAGAAGAGAGCAGTAAAACCCAGGCCAATCCACAGCAAATCTCAGGGAAGTCAGAGGCTTGGGCCACCCCAGACCTGCTGGGGCTCAGGACGTTTCTAATATGACTGAGGGTCTTATGGGAGGGATGTGCTCAAAGGACACTCCCCCTGTAACCTTATTCACACCCTTCCATCTATCTCTGAGCTGCAGCTGGAACTTGGCAGGGGAAAGACCTGGCTGGCACCCTGGTCAAACAGGGGATCCTGGCTGCATGGAAACCTCCCTCCACACAGACCTGTTGCACTTCTGCTGGGCAAAGGAGGCAGATGGGTCTAGGGCACCACAAGATGTTTGCAGACTGCATGACATCTGCCTTCACAAGCCGAGGTGGTTGGTAGAACATTTGCGCACACAGCAGAAAGCACAGCCCCTCACAAGAAGGCTGCTCTTTTTCTTGTCATGGTGAGACATCAGAGGAATTCACACAGCATTTGCAATGCGGCTGTCATTTGAGATGGTGCATTGAACTTCCTGCTGGAATTCTTCTGAGCCTTCCCAGTGAGTCTTCACAAACCCCCAGTGCCTCCCAGCTGGATAAAACCAGTGAAGGCATTTGTATATTTTAATGGGGGCAGCAGGATTACTAATTTCCAGCACCAATTCCTGCATCTTGATGGAAGCATTAAAGGGGATCAATTTGCTTAATACTGACTGTTCCTACCCTCTTTTCTGACAGCACTTGCCCCAGAAAGTGACATAGGTACTGCCTGACCACCTGTACTTACAGAGTTGCACATCATTTTACCCAGAGCCACGTAAGACATTTAGAAATCTGTCACATGTCTGCCATTCCATTTCCTCTCTACTAACCATCAGAGCAGCGAGGGCTGGCTGTTCCTTACAGGACGGGGAGCTGGGAGCATGAACAAAGGTGCAAAGGTGGTAGCCAGGGCCAGCCAAGGGTCCAGGTCACCAGGCAGGTTTGTGGGGGTGAAATAGGTGCGAGGCCGGGCCAGGAAGACAACCTGCAGGTCGGGTGAGGGTAAAGAGGGTCAGACAAAACCTATGAGCACCAAGCAGATGTACAATGTACGACATGGAGGAGAGGCTGATGTTGGGTCAGGAAGTCAGCCCATGGGTCAGCATCCAACAGCTGAGCTGAAGACCCATATAGATACAACATAGCTCAGGAGGGACTGAAAGCCTAAGCTAAGCTTAAATGGGGTTCCTGAGCCTGTGGGCAGGGTGTGTGTGGAGGCCCCAGGTGAGGCTGTTCATACTCATCAAGGCCTATTAGCGCTCTCAGGGCTAATAGCACAAGGAGAAAGTGAATCCTGTTAAGGGAGGGGGTAGGTAAGGAGCCTCTGGCACGAGCTCTGATATAAATTCTCCAACAAGCATGCACAGAGGTAGTTTTGCCTTGTTCCAGCAGCAACTGAGATGCAACTTAGTGAAGAAGGGCAGAACAGGAGACAGAGGAACCCCCAGTGGTACCAGGGGCTGTGGTGACTCCACTTACCTCACAACCATGTAGTGGAGGGCATTGCCAAGCGTGTGGTCCCCATCGGGAAACACAGACGTGACTCAGTTTCCATTTGTCCCATCCGCCCGAACCTGCCGTGAATGGGGAGAGAAGAGATGCTGTAAGGTTCTCTGCATACCAGCCCCAGGGTGAAAAATCAACAGCTGTGCTCAGCTTCAGCACAGGACTTGTAGCTCTGGCTGGCTCATCGCTGTGGCTCATGTCTCAAGTGCTGGAGTGTGACCAAGAGCAACTTCACAGAGGAGGGAGGGAAGGTGGCAAAATTATCGAGCTCAGAGAAACATCCCCCTGGTTATCAAAGTGCCTGTGAACCCTTGCTCCTCACAGGAGAGAAGAGGAGCCCAAAGAAAGGTGCCAGCTTCAGGATCCATGGTGGAAAGAAGCTGGGAGTGACTGTTGAGGATGGTGTGATACCAGGTCCTGCCACCAGCACAGGGCTAGACAGGAAGTCAAGAACTCCCCAGGGAGGCTGTCAGCAGGGAAAGCTTATCCCACTTCAAAACCAACTATAAGCCCTCCCAGTTCTCGCCTGGTTATGCTGCCCTATCGGCCAACGAGTCCCTGGACTCACCCGATCCACCCTCAGGATCGCTAGCAGCCGTTCTATCGGTCGACGAGTCCCCAACCTGCTTGCAAGCCCCATCTGCCAAGGGGAACTACGCTGCGCGCCAGATGTCTCTGCGTGTCTTACCAGCAGCCCCAGGCCAAGCGTACGACTTATAGGCCCTCTAAATTACAAACCTAAATCCCACGCATACCGTTTCTCCGCAGCCGGCACAGGTTGTTGTCTGCCCCCGCAGTGAGCGGATGAAAAGCGAAGCTCCTCCAGGCAAGCTGCCTGGGGTGCCTAGGATGTCTCCCCTAAGCTGATCCTTCAGCTGAACAGACGTCTCCTGCCTGGCTCGCCAAACTGATAATGGGATAGACTCCACAACTCGTTAAACTTGTAAAGTAGGTATGCTTTATTCAGCGCTGAGACGCATGGGGGATCGTTCCTCCAAAGGCATGCCTGCTGCAACCTCGTTTCTCCCCTTATTTATTCTCTAAAATTATACGTATGTATTAGGTTACACAACATGCCTATACATATTCATGTCCTATCCCTGCTTCGTATTATAATGAGCTAAAAGGTACTTTGCGGCTGCGCAGTAACTCCCGGTGGTCGTGGGTGAGGGTCTCAAGATGAAGTCAATGACTCTTCCTCTGCTTAAACTTTTCCCAGGCTGAAAGTCAAAAACACAGCGCTGCACCAGCTACTAAGGAGAAAAAGTGACTGCGACTGCTGAACCCAGGACAGTGTTCAGCTCCTAAGTCTGAGCCCCAAAGCCCCAACTAAGTCCTCATTTGTGAGTCTCAGCCAGAGTATGTTCCAAAATCTGACCACCACAGTCTCAGCCCTGTGAGGACGGAGGCACGGACCCAGAGGTAGAGTGCAAGCTGGAGTTACACAATATTTATATACTTCCAAGCAATTAGCAGAGCACATCTGTGTTTGCCTTGTGGTTACATCAGGTGAAAGTGATACGTGGATTGACTCCAACTCGTTAGAGTTGTAAAGTAGGTATGCTTTATTCAGCTGAGGTGCATGGGGGTTGCTCCTGCAAAAGCATGCGCACTCTCCATTTCCGACATCCTCGTTCCTTGCCAGTTCCAACAACTTCCAAGTACCAGTCAGGGACGGGTCACTCTTTATTGCCTGCTGTAGTTCCTCCTTCCCATGGTCTCTGACAGTTTTGATACATTCCAACCCCCACAC